CGTACGAGGGGGGCCAGAAGCTTTGTAAATTTGCGATCGATCGAGCTAATCGATCCGGCCACGCCGGCCAAACGTTACCCTCGCAGTCCAATGAAAAACAAACTCGCTTGTTTCTCTCTTCTTCCCCCTCTCTTTTTTTTTTTTTTTACTTTTCCCTTCTTTTTTCCTCTTTTTTTTTTGCGCCACTGAAAAATTATTTGACAGCAATTCCGACAGCCACCGCTTTTGCGGCCGGCCTCGTTGTGTACGCGTGACGCGATTAAACGGTGTGCATACGCGTATCCAACAGAGCCGAAACGGGAGTGCGAAATTGGGAATAAAAGTCGACATCCAATTCTCTATCGCGATTAGGTTCCCCGCCTTCGAGACGTTCCCGGGAATCGAGTCGTAGACGAAGCGGTGAGGCGTACGAATTAGAGAACGCGTTAGAGCGACTGTTATGCAAATGAAGCAAATGGCAGGATGAATGTCCTGCGAGGAATTGATTGTTTAGGAGGAGAAACGAAATTAGAGACGGAGAAGGAGAGCAGCACGCTGGATTATGACGGAGAGGAGAATATCTGCGAGTCGCTAACTTCGAGAGCGATTAATCGAGCTTCGCGACGACTCTTTTGCTTCGGAAGGAAACCTCTATACCTAAATATTTATTTATTTACTTAATAATTTACAGGTAGTAGAACCGACTGGCGTATAATCACAAAATAAGAACACACCAGTTTGTTAGAGAGGGAAAGAACATAGGTTACTCTTATATATAGTGTACTATAAACGAAGAGATACTATTGCCAAAAAATTGAAAGTTCGATGAGAAATTGTTTGCAAAAATGCGTATATATATATTATCCGTTTGGACACGTAGAAAAGTGGGCCCGGACCACGCGACATCGCTCTGGGGGCCCCCGTAATCCGATTCGTCACGCGTCCGGTGTCTAACCGCAAGCGCAAGGGCAGGAATGGTTTCCGGGAAGAAGTGTTATTAAAAGCGGCGGTGGTACGGATTATTGTCGTTACTATCGCGTATACACGGGGACGTAACGATCGTTGAAACGGGACTGCTCTCAACCCACTTTCCCGTTAATTAAACGAAATACCGCGCGGGAAGACGCGCGCCTACAGACGAGCGAACATCGACTCCCGACCGGAACGCAAACGCTCCGAAACGAATAATCATCGCTGCGTGCACGTACGCGCGAGTTCGAGCCGAAGTTTTCCGAATTTTCCGGCATCGACGCGGCGTAAAGAAGACGTACGCGCGCTAATTGCTGTCAAGAGACTACGCGCTGTTCGACACGACCAGAGTCCGGAAATGGAGCGACCCCGCGTCGAGCGATCCGGGAAATACGCCTCTCGCTTTCCCGCAGTTGCCCGCTCGTTGACGAACAGCAGTTTAGTTTCGCGGTTGCCGACTAATACGAGCTTATATGTTCGACCATTACGGTCTACCTCGGTCTACCTTGACCTAGCTGCAAGATTCTCCCGAACAACTTGCGGGTCCACCAGGCGCCAGCAAGTTCGATCCAGTAAACCGATTAAGGGCTTCCGAGACTACCTCGTGTGCTTGGCCACCCAGCGCAACCAGAGAGACTCGTCGGCCGACACCCTCGATATTTTCCCAATTAGCCGAGTATCACGCGCGCCTGTAGCGCGCCTGGCGCCGTCTTCCCTTTCAACTTCGACGTTCGCGCGTGTGTACACGGTTAGCAGCTCCTCGGGGCGCGCGTTGCTCGATTCGCGATTGCAGGCAGCGACACACGAAGACACGAGGTTAGAGAGGAGGTTAGAGAGGAGGTTGGAGAAGAGGTCGGAGAGAGAAGGAGGCGGAAGAAGATTGCAGTGGCGCGCGCGTGCGGCGTTTTCGCGGGAAAGGGAAAAATGTAGGACAGACGGCGCGTTCGCGGTCGGATTTTACTTTATATATATCCGAAATCGATAGGGGCGCACTTTTGACGAGCACACTCGAACGTGCTCGCAGGTGTGCCGAGGAGGGCGCATGCCCGGACCTAGATGCGCGTACCGGTGTGAGTTATAATTACGGTGACCCGTTTGTTTAACTCCACCGATAACGAGCAACGATTTTGCGCCTACCTCGTCCTCGCTCTCGCCCCCTCTGCCTCTCCCCGTCCCCTACCCGGCGAGGGTCGAACGACGGAAAGAAGTATACGGAATCGCTTTCATCCTGACGATTTATCGACCCCAAAGCGTAGTCCCAAAGCGTGCTCTCGCGTTCCGCGTCGAGTAATTAGCGCGAACGCGCGGATCTGTCCCGTTCCAAGAGCCAATCGAGATAATAGTCTGCCGACTTCGCGAGCCTCGCAACGCCTGTTTCTCGGCATCGTTAGCGGGGAATTGGGTCTGTGCTTTTCCGAGTCGAATAACTCGGTTATGCCGGTGATAGTAAACGTTCCGAGCAAAATCCATCGCTCTCGAGAGGAGAAACACCGACGATAGAGCTCCGCTATGCGCGCGGACGCGCGAAGACGCGAGCGGACGCGTGGCGCGGACGGAACCGCGGAGATTCGCGGCGAGAAGAATCGGCTCGGCGAAAAGTAGTTATCCGACGAACCGAAGAATATCCGATAAAGTTCCATCGAGATAATGGAGCAAACCGACGAAACTTTCTTTCCCATTCCGCGGCCAATCTCGACGGATAAGTCTGCTTTATATCAAATTTCCAGCGTCCCGGATCCACCGCTTAACTTCCGCGTCGAACGTTTCGACGATCGGCTGGATCGATCGCGAGTGGTCGAGGTATCGATTCCTCTGCGTGTCGCGCGCGTATCCACGTACCTTTTTCTCCAGCTAGAGAGAGAGAGAGAGAGAAAGAGGGAAATCTATCGATTCGATTTTTCGAGTAGAGTCTCGACGACCGCTCTCGCAAGATCCTCGCTCGAACGACGAAACGAGTTTCCGGTCCCGGCAGGCCGCTCCACCGAAATTGAATATATGAATGCGAAATACCAGCGGCGCACAGGGCCCTCGAGGATTCGACTTTCGAACCGGCAGAAAATAGCGACTCGTTAGGCGCCGCGTGGCGTCGCTACGCCGAGATACACCACGAATAAGCGAACGAACGAATTTTAATTAGAACTCGTGTTTGTCCCGAGCTAGAAGCCGGCTTGATTACGTCCCTCCGCGGACTTCCGGTCTCGCGTGCGTCGCCCAAGAACAAGACAAGGTGAACCCACCCGTCGAGAAGTCGTGGTCCGAGCGATTAACAGGAGCGTCGAGAGACGGATATACGGAGGAACCGATCGCTTCGCACCGATCTCGCGCTTTTCATCGTCGATTTTCGCCCCGAAAAATCCATCATCCGCGTTTCTTTCGAACGGGTCGCTGAACACCGGGACACGATCGCCCGGCGTTGCTCGGCCAAGCGTAGGAGAGGCCGTTTCGCTCGAATCAATCACCCGACGGAACATCGATACGCGGGTAATCGCTGGATTAAAGGATAACCAAGGATAATTACTCGCCGTTCGATCCGGATGCAATCAATTCTCGATGCGTTATAGTTCGCGCTGCCGAGCCCGCTCCTCCGGCTTTCTGTCCCCGCCATCATTCGCATCCGTCTTCTTTCCTGCTGATTCCCGCCACCGGTACACGCCCCGATCGACTCGATGCGAACGTCGAGCGGCGGCCACCGGCACAACGCGGCCATCCCTCGACCCTCTGCGGTCCGGATCGTGTCCCGATTTCCATCTCGATGGGATCTCGCGATCGAAAACCTCGCCCGACGCGCTATTCAAAGTTTCGCTTTGACTCTCTGCAGATTTCCCCGATCAAAAAGGCAGCCACGTTTCGGGTATTAAAATCGAAACGAATCGCAGGACCCGGAAGGGGGTAACGAGAACCATCGAGCGGCGGTGGAAGATCGACGTTTCCTTTTAGTTGCCAGGGTTTCTTTACCCTCTCGTTAAGCACGCGCGAACGTTTCGGGAAAATTGCACGGCGCTGCATTTTTCACGAGCCCGGCAGGATTTGCAGCTGCTAAAACGGCGCATATTTGCCCGTGGAATTATGCTGACCATAGTTTTGCTCTTGTTAACGCGCCGCGACTCGTCCATCCATCAAGCGGCGCGAGTTACGACGGTCTCCGGGAAAATATGTATCCGCTCCGCGGCGGCTGCAACCGTCTTCTCGACTCGCAGGTGGCGGCGGCGGCGACGGCGGTCCCTCTCTTACGTCGGTAATTTCAACGTCGAGACGAGCCCTCGACCGGCTACCCCGACGAAATTATCCGGCGAATTTCGCGGTACAAACTCGTTCGGAACGGAGTAACGAGACCTCGTAAATTTTTCTCGCTCCCAGCCGCGAAAGTTCGCCGCGGAATCGATCGGGCGCGTAATATCGCGGCCGCATCTCCGCTCTACCAGACTTATCACCGTGAAACTTTAATTTAATTTCGTCTCTGGGTCCCCTCATTTCCGTTCCGTTTCCCCCGTATCTCCTCGTATTATTTCCCGAGTCGCTGGATTCCGAACTTTAATCCCGACCCAACTTTTCGCCCGGAATCCGCGTGTCTCGTCGCAACTCCGCGAGGAGACGAGAACGGAATAAATCATCGATAAGCCTGGTATCCGCGCCAGTTCGATCGCTAACCGTCCGAGGCCTCGCTTTACCTAACCCCTTGTTTCCCGCGTTTTAATTAGCAGATACTCTCTCTCCTTCTATCCCGTTCCTCGAGAGACGCAAGGCTACGGTTTTCGGCCATCGAGCTGCTCGAAAGGTGCTTCGACGTCGAGGTGGAACGCTCTCGATGGATCCTTCGCGCGAAACGAGCTGCATTTCTACTCCCGACCAAAATACAGGAAACTTTCCAACACGCGGAAGAATACACTCGCATCGTTGCGAGTAGTTCCCTCTCGAGTCTCGAAAATCGGAATTACGTCGCTTTCCCGCTACACCGTGTACTCGGATTTCGATCCCGGTCGTTATCCTTACTTTACTTCCGTACAGTTAAATAACACGCTAGTAGCGAGTAGAAGGATCGTTTAATTACTCACGATTGCGATCGTCCGTCTGGTTCCTCTTGTGTTGCGTCTTGAAATGGTGTCCGCTGGGGACGGGGATCTGCTGCATGGCCACTAGATCGTGATGGTCCGCGTCGATCAAGGGGTTCTCGACCTGCGAGTCGATCACCTCGTAGCTGGTCGAGTTGTCCGGATGCAAGATGACCTTCACTGTAAACGAGCAAACGTAACGGAGCATGGAGGAAATCGTTCGCGGGTCTGATCGTCGATTCTACCCGCGTTTCCGTCGCGTAACGGCCACCGCCGCGGAAAAATTATTCATCGCGCGAGACCGAGCGCGCTAAGCTCCGAGCGAACTCTCTTTCCCACGTGAATATCGACGAAGAGAGCGCGCGGTGGAAACGCTCCGACGACGTCTCTTACGAATTCCTGCACGCGCCGCGGGGTTAAAGGCGAGGACCGACTCTTCGAGTCGGCCGCGTTGCAACTTCGCTACAGCGATAGGCAAAAATGGACCAGGAAATAAGCAACGACCCGGTGCTAACTTTCGCGGGATAGTTTCGCGAAGCAGAGTTTCCACGCGCGGAAACGTTCAGAGGAATCGTCGAAATCGAGACTGACAAACGTTTCCGAGCGGAGCGAAAGAGAAATCCGCGCGAGCAAACATCGAGGCGAGTTGCCGGATCGTGGTGGCTTTCTTTCCTGGTCCTTGAAATCGGTGGGTTATCATCGAGTTGGAATCGCTGTGGCGACGTTACGGATAACGAGTCGCTCGATGGAACTGAGAACGATCGAAATGGTACGCGGCTCGGTGACGGAGAAACATGTTGAGAAGCGAATGGAGTGAGATGTTGGAACGTAGAAGGGCGACTCGGTAGTATCGGCGTCCGGTAGCGAGGGGGTAGCGAGAAGGGTGGCGCTCGATCGATGGATCGAGCGGCGATCGATGGTGTCCGGCGCAACTTGACACCGATGTACGAACCTTGGTCGACGAACCCTTCGAAGGTCTCGCGGAGATCGAAGAGCCGGTCGACTGGCAGCGCCCCGATCCTGAACTCGTCATCGAGGTCGTCGTCGACGCGATCGAAGATCGCCCCGTGCTCGTAGGTGGGCCTCGGTGCGAATTTCTTCGGCTGCACCAGGCCAGGCCTCTCGATTCGTTTCGTCTCGTCCACGGTAGGCGTTGGACGAGCCGGCGGCGGGTAACTCGACCACGACGACGACGACGATGATAACGACGACGACGACGACGACGTCGCGGCGAACGGTGGTGCGGGTGGTGCAGGGTGGTGCTGGTGGTGCTGGTGGTGCTGGTGATGGTGATGATGGTGCAGGTGCGCGTCATGCTCGCTTTGGGAGTGCCTTGGCTGCAGGTGCACTGTGCTGGAGGCACGATCATGCTTGGACAACGTGGAAGAAGAAGAAGAAGAAGAAGAAGAAGAAGAAGAAGAAGAAGAAGAAGAAGAAGAAGAAGAAAGAGAAGAAGAAGATGAAGAAATAGAAGAAGAAGAAGAAGAAGACGAAGAAGAAGAAGAAGAAGAAGAGCCGCGATCATAGAAGCTCTCAGATCCCTCCATTTCACGATCATCCGCATCTTTCTCGCTGTACACAGGCCGATGCTCGTCATCGGTTCCAGCACGAGCCTCCTGCCGGTTCTCGTAATCGGCACGAGGATCGTACGTCTCGATCACGAGGACACCGGGCCTGCCAGGCAACTCCGGTGCTTCTTGATGACGACCGTGCTGATGACGATGGCCGTGCTGACGCCCCTGCCCCGGCTCCTGGACGTCGTACGTGCTCTCGTGGTCGTAGTACGAGGTGCGCGCGGCCCCGGGGAACAGAAAATAGGGGTACATACTGGTCGGCGGTAACCAGATCTCCTGGTAGCTCTCCTCCTGCGGGTCGAACGGATACAGGGCCGAGTCCGTGCCCGACAGGTCTACGGAGGTGGAGGAGGGCAGGAACTCTGTAACACAGAAGCAGAGACGCGGACGAGAACGGGGTGAGTGGGGTGCGTGATCGCATCGGTACACGTGCACGGACGGGTTTCGCGTGCTACGTGCTACTCTTGTGGTCGTGGTGACACGGTGATACGGTGGTGGTGGTGGTGGTGGTGGTGATTGTGACGGTAGTGGTGGACAGAGTGGTGGATGAAACAGTCTTACGGAAACGAGTGTCGTTACGAAAAACCGATATTCCAGAATTTGGCCAGCCGTGAACGAGAAGCTAACGGTCGTACAGGGCGTTTGCGAAACGGCCAAGGGATCTCGCTCGATCGGCAAATCCGTTCAGCCACCGTTTGCGTATTTTTCGGGGCACCCTGCACACCCTCGTTAATTTCTCGCTGTACCTCGCGTCGTTTCCAAAACAACCGTCCGGTTCTTCGCCGAAAGAACCGCGCCAACTCGGTAACTCGCAAATTACTCCAGCGACAAGGTCTCTGTTGGGGGCCATTATCGTATCCGAGTCGTGACGGCGGAAGCCGGTCAAGCTCGCGTGCTGGAAAAAGAAGAAACCCCGGTACCCCTCTTTGTCCGTCTCTAGAGGATCGTTGCTCCGATTCGAAGAGGCTGCTCGCGAGAGAGATCGTTTGCTTAGCCGTTTGTCGTTGTTCGGAGTTGGCAAGGAACGGCAAAGAGAATCTCGAGGTCGACCGTCGATTCCGATTACGTCGTGGTTCGTTTAATCCTCGACTCCGCGTGGCGGCGGTCTGCGCGCGGGGGTAGGTCAGGCGAAAGGAAAATATTGGCACCGCCTGAAGAGACTACCTCTCTTCTCTGCAGTTTGCAGGGAATTGCTTGGAACTGTTCGTTCGTACGCGCCGCTGCGTGCTCGCGAGTTTAAAGGTCAGGTCGGATCAAAAGTCTCTACTTCGGCTTTCAGCCACGAAAGGATTAAAGGGGTTCCGAAAAGGGGTCGAAACAAGGTGACTCTTCGCGATAAACGAACACGGGTCGAGCGAGTCGACTCCGGGACGAAGAGGAGAGAGCGAGTATATCGTCGGCCACCCTTTTTCTTCCTGGATTTTTCGCTGGAGTAATTCGTAGATTAGTCGGACCAGTTCGATACACGTTGCCGTTTCGTAGAGATGCAGGAAATGTCTGGAGCGAATATTCGATCGGTCCGTTTGGAAAGTATCTAGTACACGTTGCCGTTTCGTAGATACGTTTCGTAGAGATGCAGGAAATGTCTGGAGCGAATATTCGATCGGTCCGTTTGGAAAGTATCTAGAGATCGAGAGAAGAGGAGTAGAGAGGATCGAGTAGTGAGTCGAGTAACAGAGAATAGAGAGTCGTGGCAGGCGATTAATCGGCGAATGTGGCATGCGCGTTTCGGGTAGAAGTAGAAAAATACGAGCATGCAGGTCGAGAACGTGCACGACGTCTAGAAAAAAAGTTGCTCGTGCAAAAGTACGGCATGCGGTGCATAATCTCCTTTGCGTTCGCGCCCGAAGGCTCTCGAGTTCTTATCCGCCTCCATCGAACCGCCTTTTTCGTTCACGAAACAAAGTCACGGGTCTCTTCGAGCTGGCTGGCGCGATTCGCGATTATAATCCCGCTCGGATTCGAAGGTAAAAAGAGGAAACGGAAGCGGGAGCGAAAAAGAAAAGACAGATAAAGGGGAACGTTAATCGATGGAATTAACGGCACCGGCTCCGCCCGATTCGTATCGATGACTCGACGGCTGGAGAGAAACGCGAAAGGTCGACGATAAAAGTAACAACGTGGCTTTGTTAAAAGGAACGGAAGCGGAGGAAGCAAAAAGGTATGCTAATTTTTCCCGGCGTCGTCGTTGGCCTCGCGTGTTCCTTTCGATACAGGTCCGATCCAAGAATTCCCGGAGAGAAAAGCGTTCCCGTTGACCCGGTTCGATTAGACGATCGAGGACGCGAGCCGAGCCGAGCTGAAAGCGAGCAAAACGCGTCGAGATTGCGGAGGCTCGAGCATAACCGGTGAAATCGTGCGGATCGATCTCGAAACGCGAATCCTTCGGGCGGAATGCGTACTTGGGGGGTGCTGGTGCTCTCGTGCACGCGTTCTTTCTCGTTCGAGGATCTCGAGGCTGGATCCAGGCCTCCCTTTACTCTCTCCCATCCGCAGCTCCGCTGATATCCGGCTGGCGACACCGCGAGACGAGGCGCGACGCGAAGCGGACCCACGCGTCCAGGATCATCGTTTACGAGTAAAGATCGAAAATCGGTCGAAAATCTTCCTCCCTTGGGACCACTTTCGACCGATGATCCATACTCGCCTCGCGCACCGATTTTCGATCCAGTCACGCGATTTTCCGCTTCAGAATCGTTCGACCGTTTAAACAAAGCGTGGACGCACACCTTTCGTCGGTCAGCTCCCTTTCGAAAGGAGCCGCCATCGCGAAAACCTCGTCCGATTTCCGATCCGCGAGGGGGATCGCGACGCTTCGTCGAGAGGGCGAAGATGGTAGCGATTTTACTCCACGACGGACGCGATTCGACTCCTCGAAGCTGAAACGTAGAAAATTGCTCGCGCGACGATAATGTCGATTTCCGATTAATTAGCAACCGGTAAAACGATCGGCAGTCCTCGCTCGGCCAAACGCACGCTTAAAAAGAAAGAAAACAAACGCTTGCACGTCGCACATGCGCCTCGTGTGGTTGGTGTACTTACGTATCAGCGTTAGACACGCTCTGAAATGTAACCCTTAGCTTATTTACGATCTTACGAGTCTTACATGTGGGTGTCGAATCGTGAACGCTGTCGATCGTGGACGGGCGAGTGTGACGGATCTTTCTTTGGCAAATTTCTGCCGCAAATAGCTACGAATCGGTGACGATCCCTCGCGATCAAGGGTCCTTTAAATAGACGACTCGGACGAATTAGGTAAACGGTATTTCGGTCTGTGCCAGAGAGGAGGGCAAAATTTCGATGGAACCGAATAACCGACGAGACTTATCGGCAAAGTTGATCGTTGATCTAGGATAAAGGCATATTTTCACGGGCGAGAGGATGAAAGGAGGGGCTAAAAATAGCCGGTCGAGTGTCATTAGACTGGAAGGTATGGAAGAAGAGATGTTGCTCGAAGGGAACGGGATTTCAGTGAAATTAAGGTCGAGCCTGCCAAGCGATGAAATCCTTATCTACATCTCGATACCGGTGGCCTTTGGTTAATTAAGGAGAAAGGAGCTTATCCGAAGGAGGCTATAACGTCGTTCCACGAGCCTTAAACACCGCGGTATCGCTGAGAGTAATTGCTCCGTCGAGCCTTTCCTCGTGCCTTTTCCTTCGACGTCGACGCAACCGGGGAAAGTAACGAGGCCGGAAACCATCTTCCCGGCTATTCCCGTTTTCTTTCGGCTTTGTTTACAACGCAACGACCAAACTTTTCGTTGTACCACTCGCCATTTTTCCCTCCTCCCGCTCACGGCACTTTCTTCTTTAACCTCAGACGAGTGGAGTAAAGAACTCGCGACCCGATTATAAACGGAGTTGCCTTTATATGCGCGAAGGAGTCGATAATTTATAGGTAATTCCGCGCGCGGTGTAACGCGACAATTCGCGCGAGCCGCGCGGACACGGAGCGCGTTTAATTATTCCCATTGATGAAAAATGCACGCTCGCCGTGTTCCCGATCCAAGATCGACAGGGTTGATTTCATTTGCCCGGGTGTACGCACATCGACCAAGAAAACGTATGTAACGGACTAGAACAGAGCACTCGGTAACAAGATACAGACAAACAGGTACACAAAGGGGTCGGGCAATCGAGCCTCGCAACGAAACTGCAATGGAAAAGTAAAAGAGAATTTGTAGAGTGTCGTGTACATGAAACAAGAGAAAGAGAAAGAGGGGAGAAAAGGAAGAATACACACGTTTACTTCACAACACCAACAATCGTCTTCCACAAGGGTGCGCTAAATTAATAGTTACGATTAACCAACGTTACCACGTACAACCCGTTCATTCAAGATTACAAAACGTGGCTGACTCGAGGACAACGCACAACCAAACAGAGAGAGTAATAATCGAGTGAAGCATGTAAAATTTCTCGCACTCTGTACGCACTGTCAGAGATGCCTGCGTATAATGTATCGCGTATACACGTACACATAGATATGTAATATAAATGTACATATAGAGAAAGATCTGTGACGATCGAAACGGGCTCGATTTCATACTCACTAACGCACGGATTGTGATTCACCATCGAGAAGATCCTGTCGCAACGTTTCTTTATGTGATTGTTCGGACAGATGCAGCCGAACATCGGCGACAGGCGTAGCTGGGTCCAGGAATCGTGACAGGCGTTCCTGAAACACGCAAAATTCACCGTTATCATCGTGGTGGCATCATTCTCACCCTCGCCAATAGATGATATAAAATTTCCCAACATTCCAACAGTATCCCTATTTAAGGCAGGGCCTGCTAGGTAGCCTTACCGATGGGCCCACTAGCGGGTCCAAAACAAAGCGCATCCCTTTTTCATTCTATCCTTCTAACACCCCTGTGACATCGAAGATATTCACGATCAACCGATCACACAATCGCGAAGGAAGACCCCCGCAACCAAAATGGTCGACGAATGCATCTTGCTAGGCCTCTCGGTGATCACAGTCCAAAGGACCTCATTGGCCACTGACAAACGAATCGCGATTTGGCAACTGATAAATTTTCGATAGGGAAGATCCCCGAAATGACGATGCCTCCACGCGCGAGGAATCATCAGCGAACAGTTTTTAAAGAAATCCTCGAGCAGCGAAGCTGGGACCACAGTGCGAAGTAAATCTTTCTTGGGACTAGACACTTTTGAGTTTTTCACCCGTGTTCCTTCGTGTAACCCCTACCGCGTCCCTTCCAACAGTAAGGAGAAACCTAGCATTCCCGGCAAACGCCCTCGACGATCGAGAGATCATCGGAGAAAATGGCGGGATACGTTACTATAGCGATGGAACACTGGCAAGAGTAGACGAAGAATAAAGTGGTGCTAACTGCTCTCGAGTAAACGCGTTCGAGTTGGAAAGTCAATGGTCGGAGCTGGCGTAAAGTTTCGATTCGTATGTTCCCGCCTGATGGGCGAAAAAAGAGGAGGGTTGGTTTCGGTGCTCGATCGCTTTTCGGACAGGTCGCACGAGCTGCAGTCCGTGTAACCGCGATCGGCTGGCGCCACTTCCGGCCGGGCCAACTGTGATTTGTAACTGCAACGCGCGGAAACTGGACCAAACGAAGCAACGAAACTTTCTGGCCGATGTTCGGTCAGTGATCGAGCGGATGCAGAGAATTTGATACGGCGCGGCACGAAATATTCGAAAATGGGACAGGATATGATAATATTTTAACCGAAGTTCATGAAGGGGGCGCGGTTTCGCCGCGCGCTGCGATAATACCGCTTCCCCGAATTGCATTGCAAATTAATCAAGCATTAGCCGACGAGAGAGACAGTTTTATAATTAACGAAATGGTTTGATAGTTTGGGAGAAAATCGCGGAAAACGCCGGGACGTTCGATCGCGCGATAATTTCCCTTCGTGCATTAACAATGCTCGTTCTCGTTTATTCACGAAATACCGAGTGTCCAGAGTCAATGGCCGACCATTTTGTTTCTTTATCACTAGCGTCCCCTTGCTCGCGGACAATACTCGAACTAATCCCTGGTAAGAGTCTATCGCGGTATGGGCGAAAGGATCGAGCGATTGATAGCTAGTGACAGATGTCAAAACCGTGTGGTAGCTGATCGAGTGACTGCGAATCGTGAGAATGTCCTGAAGGGATGTCGCGGGTGTTAAACAACGAAGGCACTATTTCGCGTTAATACAAGCGTAGCGACCATCGCTCTCACCCTTGCCACTAGAAAGATACCAACTTCGAGGAGGTTTGAGGGACTTTCTCGCAAGTCTTCGATTAATCCTCGACCTCCCTTAAAATAGAAGTTCCTGTGCCACCTAAGTATCCCCGTCTATGGCAGGGCCTGCTAGAAAGCCTTACCGACGAGTCCAGCACCCCTAGCAGGCTCTGGATGAAATGCTCATCTCTTCCTCTTCCTTTCGTCCTTCTACCTGCTACCAAGCACGATAGCCAAGGGGATACCAACTGACAGCACCATAGGATGGAGCACTAGCCCACTAGTAGGAACCACAAGAGTCTACACCGGGCGTACCAAGAAGACCTCAATGAGAACCCCCGTGGGGGGACGCTCGCACAAGCTTTATTAAGGGGACAGAGGACACAGTGTCTGTTTTTTGAAAAGCTCTGCCCCGCACTTTGATCGCGAACGAACTACTTTTTCCAGGGCCTACTCCAAACGAGTCATGGGGCCCCAATCATAAAGGCAGAAACCGGGCCCCCATTGACTCGGACCCCCTATGTAGTCCAAACGTGCCCTCGAGTCATGGGGCCCCAATCATAAAGGCAGAAACCGGGCCCCCATTGACTCGGACCCCCTATGTCTCTAGGAGTGGAATCGATATCTAGGCTTTCCTTTTCCCCATCGACAAATGCCTTCCTACAGTCCTTATAATCCACAAAACACGTCCAGAACCTTCGAACCTTCGGCCATACGTAGAATGAATAGGTATAAAAGGGGTACCGAATGATGCGAGTGCGTCGAATTGGTTCTGCATGAGCGCTGGTCGCATACCAATCTGTACTGCAAATATTTCTGCAATACATGTCGTTACTAAGAAAGAATTGTTACTCCACTGCGAATCCATTCCTAGACTATAAATCACCACCGGACGAAGGACAAATCCATAGAAAATACTGCAACGCGAGATTTAAACCAGCGAAAAACAAAACATCGAGCTGAAACACGCAACATACGAGTCAAGCAATATTCATACTCTGTATAATAGCGAACAGAAACCTACGCAAACATGATTGAACTAGTTTACGTTTGTAAAAGTACGTAAACGCGGTCAGGCTATTCTTCTCGTTGAATTGTCGGGCGGAACACCGTCAATTAACAACGACGCTGATAACGCAACGCGTTCATCGATTCCAACGGAATCGCGAGTGGTTAATCGCGTTTTTAAAATCCGAGTATAGAGAGGTCAGCGTGGATTCGCCTTTGCCAGAGAAGGAATTTAATTCGAGCATCGTTATCGTTGCTTTGAAAACTAGGATTGACCGATGCATGATCGCGACAAATAGCCAATGGCGCGATTCGTTTGACGGAGTATCCAACTTGGCGCGAATTTTCCTGGCCAAAGTTAAGGCGACAGATTCAATTATATCGTTGTTTTAAAAGTGCAACAGCTACAGCTTCGTGATTTTCGACGAACATTCTATTAGAACATAAGGTATTAATTAGATAGCGGTGTAAGATTGATATTAATAATCGGAGATATAACGGGAAGCATATCAGACAAGCGTCGAAATTACCTTCCAATCGCGAAGGAAGACATAACTAGTGCAGAGGGGTTATTAAAAGCATAATGAAATGTTTTATGCAAGAATTCGTTCGTCATCGAAAAGCAGATACGAAGATAACCTTTCTCGTCAGCGAGAAATACGCGTGGAAATTGCTAATTGTTAATTTCATTATGGATCTACGAATTTAGAACACGCTTACGCGACGGAGTTATCGAGCAAATTTCGTCTCGAAATGGAAAACAATTTTTCTTTGCTTTTCATCTGGCATTATATCGGGATCGTTTATACGGTACAAAAGGTGGGAAAAATTCATTGGAAATCTGGCAGGCGGAGAATCCGCGATAACAATTTCTCTTTCGTGAAAAAAGTCCGCCATTTGTTTCACGGAGGATCCAATGGTTCGACTGTGCGCGGCAAGAAAGAGGAAAGGTCGAAGGAGACTGGAAGAGAGGGAGAATTCGAGAAGGGTGAGACTGCTCTTCGGAATTATTTGGGTTAATGGTACACACGGTACCATGGCTCTCGCTCTCGACGAATTAGAGGGCAAACGGAGCAAAAAGAAATAGGAAACCGAAGGTGAACTGAAAGCGACGCAGCGGGCAACTCGGATGGAGGGTGCTGTCGAAGAACCGAACAATTCGAACAGGATGAGTTAAGCTTTTTCTACGACTCCCGTCTTTTCTCGCGAAAGCTTTTATGTATATACGTAGGAATGCTAAGGTTTCAGAGTGAATGCAAAGGAACACTTGGGCCTATCTAGCTGATGATGGGCAATTAATAACAGGCTAGGGTTCGGGCCGAATGTTTAGAGAGACGTCTGGAGTGCACGTGGAAGGACGAGTGACCGCGTGCAAGGATCGGATGATCGGGATATTTATAACTGTATCGAATGCAAATGAAGAACGAAAGGCGTCTGAATGTTTAGGATACGTGACCCACCGAGAGCGAGGCTATGAGAAATGATTGAGAAGTGATTGAGGAAGAGAACATGAGTATGAAAGAAGACAAAGTGTAAGGTTTAACTTTTTCACTCGAGAGGTGAGCTTCAGTCACCGTTTCATAAAATTTGATCGATATTAATTAATATATCAAATTTAATGTAACGTCACGGTGTGCGAGGTATCGAAATCGAATAATTCTATAATTCTATTATTATACAATTCTATATTTACCGTTGAAAAAGGTATCGTCAGTATTTTAGTAGAAAATCTTTGAATTTCTACTCTTCTCTAGCTAAAATATCGTCGAGTGCAAAGGGTTAAATGAGGATGCAAGGGCTGTCCTAGGGTAGTCCTTTACGAAGTTTGAAGAAGAGTCAACGTGAGAGTGTTAGTTGCGTGATCGTATCACTTACTAGTCTAGTCTAATTGATTATATAACAATTAGTTAATCTAGTCTAGCCTTTTAGTTTATACTTTACTCCTAAGTGTCTTTTAGCGAGTAATAAATATATAGTGGAATAAACCAACATCTCTTATTCCCTATATCTGCCAATCAAAAGTATCCCTACATATACACGGTGGTTCATCACATATTGCCATCTAGATATACGTAATTATTATTACGCATAGCGAAAAATGTGTCGGACGAAGTTGAATGGTTTTGAGAGAAGATACCATATCCTGATGGTATTAGTTTTTTGCAGATGAAGGTCATTAAAATTTTTTTAAATGGAATCATGTATTTTTGATTACATCAACTGATGCTCCTTCATATTCTTTACAACAAAGTATTAACCTATTTATGTTAAAAAATCATTAGTTTATTTATTTATTTATTTATCTTAACGGGTAACAACCCTTTGGTAACAAGAAAAATAATAACATAGTACAGAGTCATCCAGAATTGTTGTTGGCCGATGAAAGATACGATATACTATGCTTTAAATGAGTGGGTGAACAGAAAAAATTTAAGGATTGGGAGAAATGGTTAAAGGTTAGGAG